AACCCAGCATCCAGTGCCCTTAGAGCTCGTCATCAGCAGAAGCAGCAGCGGGCGCGTCATCTCCCATGAGGTCTTCCAGACTAAACTCCTCCACCACCTGCCCATCCTTGCCATCCAGTTTTGAGGCGCCTCAAAATTAGAGCTCGTCATCAGCAGCTTTTGCAGGCGAGTCATCTCCCATAAGGTCTTCCAGGCTGAACTCCTCCTCCTCCACCACCTGCCCATCCTTGCCGTCCCATTTCTCCCTGGTCTCCGCCTCAGGAATGCTCTCCACTGGCTCTATGCCCCGCCCACCGCGGGCTGCCGAGCGCACAAATTCGCTGTTGAAGGATGGGGATAGGAGAGATTGAGGGGGAGAGGAGAGCGGAGGTGAACGGGAAGCTAGCAAGCGGACCAGTAACTGGATTCTTTTGATGAGACAAGGAGGGGAGCAAGAATCAGAACGGCACGACAGCACTGAAGTGTGTAGGCAGAGAGAAAACAGACCACTAAGCTGACTCTGCTAAAGCGCTCTGCTTAGTGCAATGATAGCCTGAAGTGCTCTGCTCACCTGAGGCCCTCTGCTCTGCTCACCTGAGGCCCTCTGCTCCGCTCACCTGAGGCCCTCTGCTCTGCTCACCTGAGGTGCTCCTGCTCGAAGGCACTCTTGAAAGGGCTGAACCGCTGCTTCTTGGCATTGAGGGCAATGAGAGCCGGGTATCCATAGCCCCCCACGCCTAGGGCCTTCTCCAGAGCCGGCTGTGCCCCTGCCTCCGCCCACACATACCTGTGGATACATGTGAGACGCGGGTGAGGGTGAAGAGTTGGGGGGAGAGAGGAGGGGGGGGAAGTGGGGTGAGGGGAGGGAGCAGGAGGAATTGCAGGGTTCTGGTATGGGAAGGATGGCAGACAGGCCTTTGTGGACCTGACTGACCGGCAGTGGGTGAGTGAGTAACACAGGAGAGGCTTGAGATCACAAATGCACTCATTTGTAACGGTCCCAGCTCTCACTAGTACCAGTTCCGGCACTCGTCTGTAGCAGTTCCGGCACTCGTTTGTGCAGTCCATGCACTCACTTGTAAAAGTTCTTCTTGAACTTGTCAGCGACGGCGAGAATGGTGTCAAGGTACTTGTTGCGGCCACTGGCACCACTGTCAAGGATGTGTGGCAGGAAGGTGACGAAGCAGATGGTGGAGTCCGTGCACCCCGCCAGCACGTCCTGTTGGCAATGAGAGAGCGGGGACGGGCAGAATTGTGGGGAGCAGAGGGAGCGGAGGAAGACGATTTTGCAGGCCCCTCAGAAGGTGACGGAACAGATGGTGGAGTGCGTGCATCCTGCGTACAGGTCCTGGTTGGCAGTGATGGCAGCAGCAAGGGCAGTGGCAGAAGCGACGGGCCGAGGCGCAGGGAGCAGGGAGAGCAGCGGGAGTGGAGGGAACAGAGAGAGTGGAGGGAGGAAAGGGTGCAGAGGGACTACAAGCGTAAGCAGTGGGCAGCGTGATGAAAGAAGGAAGTGAAGGGGAAGTGAAGGGGACACAGAGCTCTGACGTGAAGGGCACGTTGAGGCAGCTTGTGGGCTTCCACAATGCCACCTTCTCCATCTCCTTGCACTGCCAGCATGCCTCAGCTGAGTGCACACACAACTAGCAACAGACAACAGCCACGACGCCAGCAACACCTGAGGCGTGATCTCGTGCACTTGAGGCGCCGGCAGGTTCTGCTCCAGAAGCTCCAGCGCATACGACTCAATGCCTGACGCCACACACAGGCCCGCGTGACTTTCGAGTAGGCTCAAACACCAAACAGACACTCCCTACCTACCTGCGAGGTAATCTCGTGCACTTCTGGCGGCGGCAGATTTTGCTCCAGCAGCTCGAGCTCGTACAACTCAATGCCCAACGCCATGCACAGGGTGGCTTTTGGGCCGACTCAGCGGCAACCAGCAAACACCCACTCCCCGCTCACCTGCGAGGTAATCTCGTGCACTTCAGGCGGCGGCAGATTCTGCTCCAGCAGCTCGAGCGCGTACGACTCAATGCCTGACGCCACGCGCGGGCCCTCGTACGGCTTGGGGTTCTCCTTGTCGTCGCCGAAGACGAGGATGGTGGGGAAGCCCTGGATCTTGAAGCGCTGGGCGAAGCTCTGCTCCAAGAGCTCTAGACCATGCGACTCAATCCCTGACGCAACACGCAAGCCCTCGTGACTTTCCAGTCAACTCGACCCGCATACAAACACCCATTCCCTGCTCACCTGCGAGGTAATCTCATGCACTTCAGGAGGGGGCAAATTCTGCTCCAGGAGCTCCAGCGCGTACGACTCAATGCCTGACGCCACGCGCGGGCCCTCGTACGGCTTGGGGTTCTCCTTGTCGTCGCCGAAGACGAGGATGGTGGGGAAGCCCTGGATCTTGAAGCGCTGGGCGAGGTTCTGTTCGACTGTGCAGTCCACCTGCCCCAGGTTCACCTTCCCCTTGAGCGCGCGCGCCGCTTCCTTCCACTCGGGCGCGAGGTTCTTGCAGTGCCCGCACCTGGGGGGAGGAGAAGGCGGGGGAGGGGGGGAAGGGGGGAAGGAAGTGGGGGCGGGGGCGGGGAGGGGAAATGGAAGGGGGTTGGAGGTGGGGAGGGGTGGAGATGGGACAGGAGGGAGGAAGCGCGGTGAGATGTCTGCCACGGAGTTCTCCTTGTCGTCGCCGAACACGAGGATGGTGGGGAAGCCCTGGATCTTGAAGCGCTGCGCGAGGTTTTGCTAGACTGTGCAGTCCACCTGCCCCAGGTTCACCTTCCCCTTGAGCGCGCGCGCTGCTTCCTTCCACTCGGGCGCGAGGTTCTTGCAGTGCCCGCACCTGGGGGGGGGGAGGGAGGGAGAGCGGATGGAGGGGGGATGGAAGCGGGGAGTCATGAAGAGGTCTGCAGTAAGAGGCATCGGCAGAGTGCTGATGCAGAGTGCTATGTAGAAGCCCTTGCTTCTGTCTTGTTGACTGGTTTTGAGTCGCGTTGTTGTGCAAGCACGCCTGCTTGCCAGACCTGCTTTCCCCATTTGCAAGCAGACCAAAGAACGAGCAGCAACGCCCGAATGTGCGTGCAACGCTAACGCACCAGGGGGAAGAACTCGACGAGCCACAGCTCCTTGCTGTTCACCACCAGGTCGTCGAAGTTACTTTGGGGGCGCCTCAAAAGAAGAACGAGCGGCGCGAACGAGCAGCAACGCACGAACAAGCGTGCAACACAACAAAACACAGCACAGCACAACGCACCAGGGGGCGAAGAACTCGACGAGCCAGAGCTCCTTGCTGTTGACCACCAGGTCGTCGAAGTTGTCGCCCGTCAGCACCACCGACGCGCTCGGCCCGCTGTCGCCCTTCCGCCCGCCGCCACTGCCCCCGCCGCCGCCGCCGCCGCCCACCTTGCCGCCCAGCCTCGCGCTGACCAGCGATTTCACCTGACGCGGGGAGAGAGATTGACGAGAGAAGGACAGAGAGAGGCGTGTGAGGTACAAGCGATAAGACATCCAGGAAAAAGATCCACGGCCAGGGTTGCATTAGGAAAAAACTTGGCGGTCGTGTGCGCTTGAGTGCTTGAGTCGACTCAAGAGTACCTGCCAAGAATTTTACCACTTCTAAGTGAAACGGCTCAACGATTCTAGCGCCGCGGACACACTCTTGCTCGTTCCTCTCTCCCACATTCGCAACTCTCGCGCTCGTACCGCACCTGCGAGAGCGCGAAGTCGACGATAGCCTTGGCGTCGCGCTGGCCCTGGTAGTCCGCGGGCGTCTTGAGGTGCGGCGCGAACACCTTGATGGTCGGAAAGCCCTGCACGCCGTACTCCTGCGCGAGCGACGGGTTCGCGTCGCAGTCCACTGCGGCCACCGTCACGATTCCCTTGAGCGCCGTCGCGGCCTTCTCCCATGCCGGCGCGAGGTTCTTGCAGTGGCCGCACCACGGCGCGAAGAACTCGACCAGAACGACTTCGCCTGACTCAATCACCTGGAGAAAGGGAGAGATAAGAGTTCGCAGTGAGCAGTTACGATGGAATGGAAAGGATCGGAAGTTCAGGGGGAAGAGGCGAGAGGCGAGAGGACAGAGGGGCTGCAACGGAGGCGTAGCAGCTACGGAGCGAGTAGTGGCAGGTAAGTTCAGATGAGAAGGAACGAAACGACGTTGCGTACCGAGGATTTGAAGTTGGAGGGCGAGAGAATGGCCACGTCGGACGAGGGGCCGTAGAGCGCGGTGATGCCGGTGACGGAGGCGAGCAGCGCGACCGCGAGGAACGCCAGCGACAGCTTCGGCCGACGGAGCTCCATGCTCGGCAGACGGAAGACTCGCTTCGTCGCTCCTGAAAGGTCGCTATAGCCAGACGCGATAAGATGCAACGTGTGCGGATTCAGCAGGTGGATAGACCAGACCAGACTGATCAGTGAGAGGAGGGTGGCGGCTTTTCCTGCACTACTCACGATCTGCTAGATCTACACTCGAGACTTGCGAGCGGGAAGGGGAAGAGGAAGGCAAGTGCTGCGGATTGATTGATCGCGAAATTGATAGCCTCGGCGTTTTCATTGCCTTGGCTTGATGTCGCTCTTGGGAATTGATCGCACTCAAAACTCTGGAAGCTGTTGCCACGTCAATTTAGCTCCTTTGATTGGCTGAGGAGCGCACTGCCACGGTGCAACAGACCTCGACGAACGCGTACCCGTTACTGGTCCAAGGTGGGACTCATTTACAGATTCCTTGGTGCGACACATTGTATCCCCTTTGAATTTATGTGTGTTTGTGACGCTTTCTGATTCCGCAAGGTGCCTCCACATCACAAGATGGCGGGGAGATGTCCATCTCAGGTGGCGAAACCTTGCAGGGTGATGGTCCCCTTTGTAAGAAAAAAAAAGTGTGAAATGATGTATTGATTCCGGCAAAGGTGCTTTACTTTCCAAACTTAGATCATGATAGTGATGTACCATGATAAGGAGAGTTGTTAAACAAAAACAGGTGCTAATTTCAGTCCGCTGGTGCACTTCTAAACCATATGTTCTACTCAATCATCTTCCACTTCTCCGACAGCGAATGGATGAGGCTCCTAGAAGCAGATGTTCCCCTCGTTCCCTCCGACCACTCGCTCCTCCCAAACGTGTCCGTGCTGCTGCCGCCATCACCCTTCACACCCCCTCCCTCCATCCTCAAGCTAGGCTCAACAACTGAGGAGACATCATCGCCATCGTCACCACAGTACTGCGAGAGGAGGTTGTGGAGGCGCCGGGCGACGTCCTTCATGGGGGGGCGGCGCGAGGCGGGAACCTTGAGGCAGTCCAGTGCGATGTCTGCCAGCTCCACCACCGCCTCGTCCGGCGCCTCCAGCCCCGCGTCCTTCAGCTCGCCCAGCGAGTACACCTGCACCTTGCGCGCCGCCTGGGAGAGGGGAAGGGCGAAGAGCACAAAGGGGGATTGTGAAATGGCCCAGCTCGTGCACGAGGCTGCTCAATCAGCCTTGCTTCTGCCCTTGCTTACCTCAACAACTCATAAAGTCATCATGACTTCTCACCACTCCACGCATGCATGCATGCACTCACCCAGTCACTGATGTGGCTGTCGGTGCCCTCCACGGCTGCCTTCTGCCTTGTCAGCAGCTCCAGCAGCACCACTCCAAAGCTGCTCCAATGATCGTGGGAGAGCAGGGACGAGAGCACATAAGGAATTGGGAGGGACAGTGAGACAATGACAGGCGAAAAAAGAAGGCGAGAATTTGACCTGCACCACTGCTTGCATGACTGGCAATCACACATCTCACAAGCCAACATTAAAAGGGTGCGAACGTAGCAAGAAAGGACGCGGGCACTTGTAGGCATTGCACCTGTAGACGTCACTCTTCTCGGAGACGACTTGCGTGCGGTTGTAGTCGGGGTCGAGGTAGCCGGGGGTGCCGGCCACTCGAGTGCGGTCGTCACCGCCGTGGGCGTGGCTGAGCATCTTGAGCAGCCCAAAGTCGGCGATCTTGGCCTGGTTGTGCTCGTCCACCAGGATGTTGCCGGGCTTGAGGTCGCGGTGCACGATGGGCGTCGCGAAGCTGTGCAGATATGCCACTCCCTCCGCCGCCCCCACCGCCAGCTGCAGCCGCTGCTTCAGGGTTAATGACGCTGGGGGTTGGGGAAGGGGGAATGGAGCGGGAAAAAGGAAAACAAGAGAAGCCGGAAAAAAGAACCGAGCCAACATTAAGACGAGGGCGAGTGGCAAAGCTGCAGCTTCAAGCAAGAAGAGCGAACACATGGAGTAGTCAATGTGGTGCTTGAGGACCAACAAGTTGAAACGGGAGCATACATTTAGAGTTGCGGATGTGGCACTTGAAGAGCACATGGAGAAAGAGCGTTCTCTTGTAGTCGAGGAAGTGGTACTAAGTCCCCATTGGGCTTACTTGAATCTCTTCTCCACAGAGCTTACTCTTTGAGTCATGGATGTGGTACTTGAGGTCCCCGTTGGGCACGAACTCGTAGACGAGGATCTGCTCCTGCTGGCCGCTCTCCATATTCTGATGCAGGCAGAAGCCCAACAGGCGCACCACGTTCTGATGTCGCAGCGACGCCATTGCCCGCACCTAAGTAGGATTCAAGGGGGATTAGTGCAAAAGAAAAAGGGGGTTAGCGGGACGTCTCATGCCGCGCCATCGCCCACATCTGCCGGTGGAGGGGAATGTGGGAAGATCAGCACAAAGGATCCCCGACCGATCCTAAGGATACAGACACGCTTGCCTGGAAGGTTATGGCACTCACCCGCTTCTTAACAAAGCCAATTTATCAAGTGGTTAGTGGTTGGGATTCTGACATGTTATCGACGCAAAGTACTTGGGTGCCCATGCTGGTGCCCATGTGTCGCTGCCGATGTGCCGTGTCCTAGGGCATCCCAGTGAAGGAGGGGTATCAAAAGACCTGCACTAGAGATCTCTGTTTGATTACAAGTAGGGGTTACATGCACGTTTGCTTTGAGGTTATGGGCGCACTAACCTACTAGTTATGTTGGAATACACACGTCTAGCTTATATACATGTTAAGTGTTTATAGGCGTATCGCATATACGCGTATCGTATATACTCTAGTGTAAATAGGCTATCCACTTAGTCGCCGGTTCAGAGATACGTTTTTTCGAGCCGAGAAAATCTTTTACGAGCAAGGTTGAAAAGGCAATACTCCATATTCTCGCTAAGGTGCGCCCTAGTATAATCTTGAATTTGAATGACGGGTGTGGTGGGAGGTGGGATAGACATAATAGCTGGGGTGAGAAGCAGCGTGAACTCTCCTGAAACCGGGATTGATACGACAAATTAGCTAACTTGGCTGGCTGGTAAGTAGAGTGAGGTTTGTTGGAGGGTAAATGTTGACATGTTGGAGTTAGTACATGAAGTGGGGTTCAATGCGATAGAAGGGATGAGTTTCATTGCCCATATGATGTTCCTCCTCCTCCTCCTCCTCCTCCTCCTCCTCCTCCTCCTCCTCCTCCTCCTCCTCCTCCTCCTCCTCCTCCTCCTCCTCCTCCTCCTCCTCCTCCTCCTCCTCCTTTTTCTGGTAAACCCCAAAACATAGGTGTTAAGCGTATATTATAACTTAGCTCGCTAGTAAACAAGCTCTTTTACCCCGATGATTAGTGGCTGGGATTCTGGCAGGGAGCAGGTGCGTGACGTTAACAGCTGATGCAGGCAACACCTGGCTGGCGGTGAAAGGGTACCGAGCAAACACGCCAGGAGCAAGCAGGCCGATAGGAACATGAACGGGAGTGACCAGCAAGTCTGGAAGCAAACATTTTTTTTTTTCATCACCTCGGTCTGGAAGTCGTTGGACATGAGTGCGATGCGCTTGACAGCCCACAGCTCGCCCTTGCTGGAGACGCCCTTGTAGACGGTGGCGAAGCCGCCCTTCCCCAACACATTGCTGCTCGCCCAGTTGTCTGTCGCCCGCAGAATCTCCCCCATGCTGAACTCCTGACACACGTCCAGGTCGCTCCACCTCCCTGCCATGCCACACACCATGCCAGGATGCTCGTAAGCATACAACATTCAACACATTTAAGCACGCTGCATGAAAGCAAATGTGCTGCGGACAGCTCGCTGCGAAAACCACAGTAGATTCTGAAGCTTGGAAAGAAGGGAGAAGGCGAAGAGGCTCACTGCGTTGGCGGGGCCAGAGCAGCGCGACAACGAGAGCGAGGAGGAGAGCAAAGGCAGCAGCAGAGCCCACAGCGATGCCCACCACTGCACCCGTGGAGAGCGCTGGAGAGGTGAAGATGTGGGGGGAGGAGGGGGAGGGGAGGAGTGGGAGAGGGAAGGAAGGGAAGACGGAGGAATTGGAGAGGGTGTTTGAGAGGAGAAGGAAAATTGAGGGGTACACAATGCCCTTCTTCAACCCTTGGAAAATCATATCCTATCCTTCTACAGCCCTTGGAGAACCATATCCTATCCTTCTTCAGCCCTTGAAAGAGTATGTCCTATCCTGCTACAGCCCTTAAAAAAACATTTCTTCCAACGAGGTTTTTTTTTTTTCCTTTTTTATGAAACACCAAATTTAACATTTTATGCCCTAATTTTTGCATTTCCTCCACTGCCCTGGTCACGCCGTTTTTAAACGAGTTCAATTCATTCTCACTACACGTACTATTTTATTTGTGTTGTACCCTACATATGGTACTGAAGTCTACAACACATAATCGTACAAAACGAATTTGCTACTTGAAACATGAGTTCGACATAAGCTCTCAAAACGACGAATCATGGGCAACAGCACGGACTCACGCAAGCACGCAAAAAGCTCCCATTCCCACGCCACGCCCATCACAGGGCATACCTGATGGGGGCGGCGGAGCAGGGCGGGCGCAGGTGGAGCCGAGGGTGCCGTTGGTGGGGACGAAGCCGTCGTCGCACTCACATGTGAAGCGCGCCTCTGCTGCCCCCGCCTGCGGCGGCACACACGCTCCGTGCCCGTCGCACGGCCCCAGCTCCCGCGACATGCTGCAGAATGCCAGGCACTCGTCGCTGCTGCGCTGCGTCTCGTTCGCCGTGCACTCCATCTGCTTGTTCAGCGTGAAACAGTTCCGCCTCAGACTCGCCTCGCCATGCTTGTCTGCTGCTTGGACTATGTCCGTGATGTAACCTTGCATGAAACGGAGTGCGCAGCGACTTTGCCCGGGAGAAACGAGTTCTTCTCTGCCCAAGAGATGAGACTGGGTGACGTTGGAGGGGCAGAACTGGCAGCCATCGGCGTAGAGCATGGGGTCGCCGTAGAAGAAGTTGCCTGCGATGTTGAGCAGAGCACCATTGCCAGGAATCATGCTGCGAAAGTTGCTGTTGATGGGGCCGTAGAAGCTGTTGTTGCTGATGTCGCTGGACGGAGTGGAATGCGGTGGAAATGGCAACATGTGAGAACAAGATTGGTGTGAGCTTTGGGTGTGCATCCAGTGTTATCCGCCCCGTATCATCTAGTGACATCTGGTGACATGTAGTGACATCTAGTGACATCTAGTGACATGTAGTGACATGTAGTGACATCTAGTGACATCTAGTGACATGTAGTGACATGTAGTGACATCTAGCGTCATTCAGTGTCATCCACTCTTGGCACATAAGCATCTGCATGCACAGACGCCAATCACACTGCCCACTGCTCACATGCGGTGCAGACAATGTTCAAAGAGGCAGGAGGGAAATTTTCCGTAAAAGTAGTTGTTGTGGAGAAACCTGAAAGCAACGCACATGGATGTTGAACAAAAGGCATAACATATTATATGACTTAGTTTATATATGGTTTTAAATATACATATTTTCTTTTCCAGATGCAAAGTGGACACAGGAAGGATGATGAGCAAAGCAACTGGCCCCAACTGCAGAATGAAGCAAATTGTGGCTTAGTCAGAAGGCAGGGGGGCTTGGCTGGGAATGCATTACATGGTCTGCAAGTTGGTGAGGTCACATATGGAGAAAGGGAGCTTTCCAGTGAGCTGGTTCCCAAACACAGACCTGCCAAAACAATGCCAAAACAATTGCAGAAAACATGATTTGTCATGAACACTCACAGAAACTCATGAAGGGCGCACAGACTCCACGGAATTTCACAAACAGAAATTTAACGCACACTCGTGACAACTCAAATACACAACGCGAACACACATAACTCATGAATCGTAAAGGTGATTCACGAACCGCACACACTAAAACGCAAAGCCAAAAAATGCGCAACTCACACACAACAAATTAACTTCAAACGAAACACCTCACTTTCACTCAACGCCGGCGAATAGGTGGTAGGTTGTCGTGCAAACCATGTATTGCAACAATTTCGAGCCAACATGACTAATGCGCTATTATTTTTTCTAGAGCTTGGATAGTGTGGCTTCGGAACTATGTCATGTCACAACTTAGAAATTAAACACTCTCAGAAAAAGGAATGAACACTTGGGTTCAATCAACACTTCATCCATCGTCAAGCAAACAAGTGCATATTTGGTAAGTTGGTTCACAGAGTATGGAGGTTGGAGAGGGCGCCAAGGGCAGAGGGCAACGATCCTGAGATGTTGTTGGAAGCAAGGTCTCTGACGGGGGTGCATGGAAGGCACACAAGGAAGTGACACAATGACACAGCAAAGAGAATAAAGCATGAAGTACATATAGAAGCTGGCTGTCAGATGGATCCAGATACACACGGGTGGCAGGCAGAGAAGCACCATGTTACAACATACAACGGCTAAGAAATGAGCTCAGAACGAAGCGGCATGAAGAATGGCAATCAAATGGGAGCAAAGCAGTATTTCATTACATGGCCTCAAGTGCGGTCAAAGCTAGAAGCGATGAAGGAAAGCTCCCAGAGAGTTGATTGTTGCGCAGTGAACTGCAAAGATTGAAAGAATTGGTTGGTTGAAGTATAGAATGCGATGGCTTAACTAAGTAGGGTTGAGCAAAGTACCAAACTGATGAGTGCTAAACACGATGGCCACGTAAGTGGGACTTGGGCATACTATACGTCTGCTAATTGTGTCCATTGTGAAAATTTTCCGACTGTAATGAGACATCACAATAATTGTAGACATGCATATCTCCTCTCCATCACCATACAGAAGTGACCCATGCGATCAAGGAACCCTTATGTATCTTGAATTTACAGCAGCACAAAATACTCGCAAATGAATTGGCTCAAGGTCGCACGTGGCTTGAATACCATGTAGCATCTTCAGAGGGCAAAGCACCATGTGTATTCAAGCCCAAGCTGTGGTAGTGCTTGCAACAATCATTGGAGCACCAACCGAGGAACACTCACAGGGCAGCAACAGAGGTGAGAGTGCTGATGGACTCAGGAATAGACCCTGTGAAATTGTTGTCTCCTAGCATCCTGCTCGCACATGAGGCCAAACGAACCTCACTTGAAACAGATTATGGAATCTAAAACGGAGGCTCGTGGAACAATGTAAGAAAACATGATGCACGTTAATGTCGCAAGTTTGGAGACATAAGAAAGAACATTGTGGATTTTGGAACCACTCCTCCGTTTCAAAACTTTTTCTTTCATTGTTAGTGTGTGCAGCTTTTGGTCTGTGATCGGCGTACTGACATCATGGTGACTGGAGCCTTCCAGAGGGAAAAGTCAGGAAGGGAGCCTGAAAGCTCGTTTCCTTGAAGGTTCCTGCAAGTCAATCAGCAATTAGCCAAGGAATCAAGAAGCAGCAGACACAATTGTTAATCCACAAACCAATCAGATCAAGAAACGAGCCCAATGGGGTCAATGGCGTGGCAGTGCTATTGGATGCATGCGTGACAAAACTTACAGAATGTTGAGGAAACTGTGCGAGAAGGGTGGCAAGGTTCCACTTAAATGGTTGTGTTCCAAGGTTCTGGTTGGTGCGCAATATGCAGAGCAGCCACAATACAACAACAAAAAGATCCATTGTGCTTGATTGAACGAGAGGGTGTTGTGTTCTGATGACACGTGGAATGAACACCTAGCTCTGTCCACTCACACTCGAGGAAGGCCCTAAAACAAACTGAACCACACACACACTAAAGTGATAAGTTGTCTTAACCTAAAATCTCAACCCCAAAACGATTTCACTCAAATTATTGTGAGAGTGCTCGGAAATTGCAAAGGGCTGGGCAAAATAGTAGCGGGCCTCGACGTTTATATTTATATATAAAGGTACATATATACATGTACATGTATATATATATTCTTTTACTTGTTTTTCCTGACTAAGACAGCACCTGCACAATCTGAGTCGACGGCCGCTTCGACGGGACTCTGCATGCTCCCACTCAAACCGATCGGACCAGTCTGAGTCGAACACGAACCAGCTTGCCTCAACAAACCGACCGATACACACACACACACACACACACACACACACACACACACACACACACACACACACACACACACACACACACACACACACACACACACACACACAGCGCGCGCGCACACGCACACGCACACGCACGCACACGCACACGCACGCACACGCACGCACACGCACGCACGCACACACGCACACACGCACACACACACACGCACACACACACACACACACACACACACACACACACACACACACACACACACACACACACACACACACACACACACACACACACACACTTCTGTGCAATTCTCGTCCCTAACGAAGCACGAATATCGGCTTACAGTTCAGCAAAAGGAAGTACAGCAACGCTGATGGAATCTCCCCATGAAAGTTGTTTCGGCCTAGATTTCTGCAACCAGCGAGAGGGAATGCAAAATCTGCATATGTGAAAGGCTTCTGTACAGACTAATAATATTGCGATGTCTCGATTCTTAAGAACTTCCAGAACTAGGTTACTCAATATGCATGATCCGTGGTATTTGTTCCAGCTTCAGCTGTCTGCAGAATCACGTCGCTTGCTCTAATGGTGATAAAATGAAAAAACATAGTAATTCCCATCTTGCAGAACCTTTGGACTAATAACGATTCTGATGTTGTTTTCATAGCAGAAGTTGAGCCTCAGAAGGACACACCTTCAAGAATCTTCAACAAAAGGATTTGCCCTGATTCTCACGAGCTGCACTACACTACCCATGCAACACAAATAGCGCTGCTTCACACACCCATGCTGCACTGCTGATCTAGCGTCCTAAAAATATAAGAAAGGTGGTTCTTATCTGTGTTATGAAAAAGGGGTACTGACAAAAAGTGCAGGTTTTCCATTTTAGAGATGTCACTGGGAATGGTCCCGTGAAATGAATTCTGGCTGATGTCCCTGTGATGAAAGGACACACTCAAAAGAGGGGCTGATGTTGGAAAAAATACAACCTTTGATACAAAATTTGCGCTTAATAGGAGCTGTTTGGATGAATCAAGGGAAACACAAGATTTTAGAGGTAGAGTAGTCAAAGCTGTAAATAGAAAAAAACATATAGAAGTGACTAAAAATTGCATTCAGCAGTTTCAATTTGTGTCTAATCTGGTTGCCTGAGGTTTTCTTAGCAAAGAAAAAAGCTGTACAGGCTGGCAAATTCTGACTCAAAGTTCGCCAATTTGTGCAAAAGTATTGTTGCTTTCTTTCTTCTCTTTTCTTTTTCTCCTGTTTCTTCTCCACATGCCGTCCAGAATTGCTCTGGCCTGAAGTTTTGCATTTTTCAAGAATCTCGTGTTTTCCAAAGTTCTAACTTGAGCACCTTGATGCTTAACGATTACGTGGGAATGTGCTTAGAGACTTTTCCACCACCATGAAATCCAATAATGGCCACCAATACAAAACAGGTTCATCGCCAGGCTAACCGGCAATATTCGCCCCTTTGCATGTTAGGTTGGTGAGAACATACAGCTCATTAAGGTTGGTGAGGTTCAGCAGGACTGCGGGGAATGACCCCCCGAGGTTGTTGCCTTGCAAAGCCCTGTACAAATAAGAAAAGGAGGCTTCTGGTGGCATGAGTTGTAACGAAATGACGCAGGGGGGATGCAACAAACAGCCAGTCAAAGCCTCCTGCGTGTGAAGTTAGGAGAATAGTTACTGAGGTTGTAAAAGTCAGCTGAGTTTATGCTGCTGACTGTTGAGTCAGTAGGTATTAGTCACCATGCAAGCAAGCAACTCACAACATATTGAGTTGTGAAAGAGAAGAGAAGCTTGAATATCCATGTGTGAAATTGTTGAATGATACATCCCTGCAATGCAAGCACACCAAGTGCATCACAGCAATCAAAACCGTTCTGGATGCATTACGCTCACATGGAAAAAACATCACCAATGAGTGTAAATCGAAATGGACGGGGCGAGGCCTGATACCAAGAAGCAGCAAGTCTTGTATTGCGAAACCTGACAACAGCTACTGAAACGCTGTGTTTTGTTGTGCCGCTTTGCTGGGTGTTGTTGGTTTGCGAGCTGACCCCTTGGAGCTGCATATCAAGTCCTGAAGTTAGCAAGTATTCCTAAGGAGCCACACAACTTGAGCACGTACAATGTTATCAGCCATGGCATCTCGCCTAGCACCTCGAGCCCTGAGCTTAGTTGGTTGGATTGAAGCGACCTGGAACAGGCAAGCACATAAGGCAACAAGGATCAGGAGGCAAGAGAGCAACGGCAAGGAGGGCTGAGGTAGAAGAGAATCGAGGACGGAAACGAATGTCGAAGTGCCTTGCATACGACACAATGGAGTGTCTTGGAAACGAAGAAGAAGAAGAAAAAACAACAATAACAACTCCGCACACACCCACACCACACCCACCCCCCACCCCCCCCCCCCCCCCCCCACACACACACACATTTTTCAAGTCATGTAACAGCATGCCAGTTACAAGCAAGGAGGCCTCTAAACGTCCTTTGTCTCAACAGAGTCGAGCCCAGAGACTCAAAAACGCGTGCATAGAGCAACCACAAATCCTTCGCCGGGTGACTTTCCTCAAATCCAAAACAGTATCCACTTTGAGAATCCTCCAAGGCTGATCAAAGCTATATTTCACGAAGTACACCACATGCTCAGAGTGTATTTCGGGCAGCTGGGCTGGGACTGCATGTGGTGCAGTTCGTTATCAGGCATACATTCTTCTCCTGACAATTCCAGCAGTAGTGATGGTCGCAGTGCCAATTCAGATTGATCTTACATGAACATCATATTGGAAAGCTTGGTGAACGAGTGTGGCACGGCCCCTGAGAAGTTGTTCATAGGAAGGTCCCTTGGGAATGGAGGCACGGAAAAACACACTTTCACGTTTGTATCACACAGCTAATGGAGCATGGGTGGTGGGTGTATGGTTCAGCATATGGATGAATACTACACACTGTCACAAGTTACAACATGTGGATGAATGAACAACATTACTCATGCCATATAACTGAACACTCACAACAGATGGATCAATACTCACAAGTTTGTGAGGCCGGAGAGATTGCCAATGAAGGGTGGGATGACTCCAGAGAAGTGATTCCCCGAAAGATCACTGGTATCAGAGCAGAGGGGAGAGCCACATGTGCAAAACCGTTGATCAGACAGCTTTGCAACAGCATAGCAACACCGTAGAAACGCAAGAAAGCCAGAATACAAAGAGATAAACCGCAGCATGAATGACAGACAGGGGAAGACAAGAGAATGTGGGGATGAGCACGAGGGAGAGTGTGGGGGCGAGCAACGAGCATGGGGCGGGGACGGCGGGCATGGGGCGAGCATGGGGCGGGCATGGAGTGAGCATGGGGTGAGCATGGAGTGAGCATGGGGGTGGGCATGTGGGCGGGCATGGGGATATACAGATCCTTAAGGGTAGTGGAGAGGACGGGTGGGATGGTGCCGTCCATGGCGTTCCTCTTCAGAGACCTGGTTCACAAGCATGGGTGGGAATGTTTCAGAAACAAACAGTTCTACTTTCTTTCCCTCATAGAGTAGACAAAGCAAACAGAGACTTGGGGAGGGAGAGAGGGAGAAAGGGGGAGAGGGGGGAAAGGGGAGGAGGGTAAAGAGGGCGCAGTGTGGGAAGGAGGAAGGGGGGGAAGAGAGGAAGGGGAAAAGTAGGGGGGAAGATGCAGGGAAGTGCTGGAGAAATAGCGGGGTGGGGACACTTTTGTGTTGCTCAGAAGGCCTATTTTGGTCTGGATGCACATTCAAGGTTTGTCCTCCTAGTTGAGCACAATGATAGAACTCAAGGTTCTCCTAGCTCCAACCATGTCATTCATGTTACAAATCACAAGGCCTTTGAGTTTTGAGACGTCTCAAAGCTTGAAACTGAAATTTGAGTCTCAAAACTTGAAACTGAAATTTGAGACGTATCAAAACTTGAAACTGAAATTCGAGACGTCTCAAAACTTGAAAACGAAATTTGAGACACCTCAAAACTTGAAAAAGAATTTTGAGACGTCTCAAAACTTGAAACTGAATTTTGAGACGTCTCAAAACTTGAAACCGAAAATTGAGACGTCTTAAAACTCCAAGCTCCAACCATGTTAAGTTACAAAGAACTAGAAAGCCTACAAAGAACTTACGGGTTGACTTGACCAATATTGTTTGCATTTCCCACACAGTTATTCTCTCAGCCCAACCTGTTGGGTGCAAAATGCATTTCGCACGTCAACCTGACGCCTATTCGTCGAGCAAGGTGAAATGTGAAATTTTAAGGTAATTTGTGTTGTGTGGAATCCGCATTTTTTTTCTTTTCATTTTGGCATTTACGGTTAATAAATCGCCTTAGCGGTTCATGAGTTATGCAGATTTTGATATGATGTTGCATTCATGAGTTTTCATGATTGTTTGTGTGTGTTTTGTGTTGTTCGTGCTGTGTCATGAATGTGCGTGAAGTTCCGAGTTATCATGTGCTTTTATGAGCCTTCTAGTGTTCATGAATGTGCACGTAATGTTCGTGCAAGCTTCATGAGCGTTCAAGTGCGTTCGTGTCCGTTCATGACTGTTTATGTTCCGTTCATGTTTGTTCATGTTTTCTTCATGAGTTTTTTTATATCGTTCATGAGTGTTCATGGTGAATGGCGAGTGTTTTTGCTGGGAGATATTTTCGCACTGGTCAAGGGTGTATGGGCGCGAGAATCTGGACCGCGCGTGTGGGTCCAGATCTCGGTCACTGTTGCACAACGGCACAAGGCCTATGATCGCAACAAGACAGCGCCCATATGGGCACTATAGACCATAAATATCTGGTCGTGCATGATTGCGTCTCAGGGGTGCGCGTGTGCTTCACAGGGTGCAGCGGGATCCTAGGGGGTGCTCAGGATTTGACTCGAATATTCAGTTGGGTAACTGAAATTCAAGTCTTGTTGTTTGTGACGTGGCACAAGGACATTTCGCCAAAAGTTGCGCATTCAAAAGGTAACAGTTTCGTTACAGGTACAAAACGGCGAAAAACCGTTTTACAGCTGTACGGTCTAGGGAAACGGAATTTCCACACAAGCGTTCATGATTCTACACGGGAATTCATGATCGTTCGCGAGGGGAGTCAACAGTAGCATTTGGCAGACATGGAAATTTAAAACAGTTAATTCAAAGAGTCGGATCAAGCACAGATATATTTGCATGCGTGTTAGACGAAATACATCTGTGCTTGTGTTTGATTGTAGTAACATTTTGTGAAATGAGCAGATCGACGAGCCTTGACTCGGCTCGACAGGCTCGGCTCGGGTTTCCCCCGAGTGGAGCCTTCTTTTTTGGACCTTTGTCTCGGATCGAGCCGAGTCGAGTATGGCTCGTCGAGCCGGGCGAGCCGCTCGGCTCGACGAATCAATTTCGGCGAGTCACGGATGGCTCGCGAGTCAATTTGACTCGTCGCGAGTTGTTGGCTGGCTCGTCATGCTTATGTGACGAGTGACGAGTCGTGGGACTCTGGCATAAGCCGTACTTCTTGATCCGTGGATTGCACTGCTAGAGGTAATAACTACGCTACGTAGCATACGGATCTGATAACCCAAGATCGGGAATGATTTTCCTTCCCGATCAGGGAGGGAGATGCACAGTAAACGAAGCTGCACAATCCAATCTCGACGACACGTTGTTGGGTAACATCCAGGTGAAAAATAATCCTAGCGAAACCTTTGTGTTCATGCGATAGAGGAGGCGGAAACAACATAATTCTCGTTTACTCTCGACTGGTTTCGCATATGTATTTGCATTCAATTCATCCGTTCCTGAAAGTGTTCGTCGACATTCTGTATCCTGCTCGCTGTGCTCGATTTGTTCGCTCATCCCTTCTCGACCTCTCAAGCACGACAAATTCGTCATAATTTCGTAGGTCGAAGTTAGGGTTACTGTGTCAGAAATTTGGAAAGCACTATCAGGTCTAATTTATCGACAGACTTACGCATGTTTTCGTGCCTCACCAAGGAATTTCTATATCATTCCAATCGTAGCGGCTAGACAATTTTAGACTGCTGATCTGAAATCGATTGACGTCGCGCGTGTTTTCATGCCTCAATCGTGATTCTCTAGATTGATATGTATCAATGATTGCTCGAGTCAAGCCTGGCTCGGCTCGTCACAAGCCAACGTGGCTCGACCTGAGCCCTTTACTGGCTCGGGTATAATGACCGAGCCACAAGCCGACTGAGGTCACAAGTCGGCTCGGCCTGGCTCGACTCGACTCGGCTCGAGGGTAGGGCGAGCCACAGCCGGCTCTAGACAAGCCTGGCTCGACTCGTCTCGTGCTCATGTCTACTGCACACGCACCTAGCGATTGTCAACGCTGCGCAATTGAGCTTGGGAATGCTCTTAGTGCACACAACCATTTTACGCTTGGGAAAATCCCTCTACCAACACGGAAACTTGGTTAGGGGCTGGCTTTGTCAGGCACCCGAAGACCGTTGGAGGTGACTCCGTGGGGACTACCTAGAGTGTATTAAATGTGTGCTTAAGAGTTTCTAATTCCCAAATTGTGGTCATTACAACAAAACCTTTTTAAACCTCCACAGTTGCTTGTAAGTCTCTGAACTAATCCAAAAAACCACTTCTGTTCCTTCACAGGCCAATCACGGGCCTAGAAAGGTTTGAGACAGACCATTGATAAGACCGGCTTTTCAAGGAATCGCCACAAGATGGCTTGGTGAGGTTACAGCCTCACTTGTGCCAACCGGAATTCGATCAACCCAGTGCGAGTGGGCGAGCAAGCAACATACAAACCAACTAGATTTGACATGTGCTCATTCTTACAATTCGCTCAGTGTTGTGAGAGCAGCGAACGTTGACGGGATGGATCCTTCTATCCTGTTGAACCCAAGGGATCTGTGCGATAGCCGGATGGGAAACAATCAGATACGATACAAAGTCAGCGCATCTGAAATAGGAGGTGAGCATGGAGAACGAGGATTGTTGGCACTGATGAAGGTCTGATCGGGCCTTTCCCCCGTAATAGACCGAAACATGTTTGTCCCTGTTTTACTCTACTGCTAAGAATTTGGGTTCTAAGATCGTTCTGAGCACTTAGTTGTACATAGAGCGGAATTTTACTGCTGTTTTTTCCTTTGCTTAAGCCTACTGCACGCACGCAGCTCACTGAGCCATGTCCGGATCTCTGAGGTGAGCATGGAGAACGAGGATGGTGAGAGAACCTGTGAAAGGCAATGAAAAGTTATGAGAAGCAATGAGTGGCGAAGAGATGGTATAGGTTCCTGTAGGCATAGCATAGGAAGACCCAAATGATACAAGAAGGGGAGTTTGGAGCTGAGTAGTATAAACGTACAAATCGAGTTCAGCCGCAGGCATGCCAAAGCAAGGCTCGCAAAGAAAGAGGCTCACAATAGAGTGAAGCAAGGCTTACAGGTAAGTAAGGTGCTCCAATGAGGTCCAGTACTCTGGAAGAGTCCCTACCAGCCCGTTGCCTAATGCATCACTACCATTTAAGAACAAGCACCATGCAGTTTCAACTTTGAGAAGGGACCCTCCCTCAGCAAGGAAACACAATTCATTCTCTCTCTAGACATCAGCACATCAAGAGTGTTGCGGCTTCGCATGCATTGGCTTATCATTGCACCCACGCATGCTTATCATTGTCTGTCATCCGTTTTGAAGGGGTCTCAATGCTGCTGCTTCAAAAGGATTAACTTTCAGCCCATAAACATTTGCAGCAAGGCTCACACAAAAGGATCCTCCTCTCTCTCCTCCTGATGATGATATGCACATGCATGCATTCGTTGCTGCTCCTTGGAACTCGTTTTGGGGGGCTATCAACTTTCCTATCAGCGGATTGAGTGCCGGTGGTGTTTCAAACACTGTGTTGCCGAGGGAGCAACCAGGAAGCACTCACAAGTATCGCAGTTGGTTAAGGCGGGAGAGGTCTTGTGGTACCACTCCTGTACGGAGGTCGCTGTTATGAGCTACATCCCTGGAAGCACACGGATGGATGGAGGCATGGAATGGCAGGATGAATGCTCAGGCTCCTGCTAAAAAACTGAGGAATCGCTATGTGTTCAGGTATTAGCCATTTGCTCAGGATATGGTGGCTCCTGGCTGTGGAAAAATTCTATCTGCTGGCGTCGAGATAAACAAGGAAGAGGACATGCAGAGGACAAATATCCAACAAAATCACACAAATTTCAGATTACTGTAAGTGTGAAGTGGTCAGCTGCGACACTTCGCTGGACATAGTGTGACGTGCGTGCGTGCGTGCGTGCGTGCGTGCATACTTACAGGTACTGCAAAGCAGTCAAGTCCATGGCCCATCGGGGGAATTGTGAAGTTTGCAACCACCTCAAGTCCCTACGGCATGTGAGCATGATTTCGCAAAGGAAAAAAATCAGGTGTGTAAAGTATGCATGAGCAAAAGTTGTTTGAAATCAAACCAGCCTGTGATGTTGAATGAGGTCGGGCAGGCCACCGAGCTGGGTTTGATGGATCATGGAAGATGGGCCTATGCATATCAGTCAGGGAAATTCGCACTCGGCCTCAAGTAAGAGAAGGTTGGGTTGGAAAAGGGAAGGGAACTGATGGAATGGAAAGCCAACCGACTTCCATCCAACGGTGAGTCGGCAGACTGCCAAGGACCCGCTTAAGCCTGTGCAAACGAATACGAATACGAATACGAATTTTTTTTCTGTATATTCTCCAAATACTGGGTAGTTTCTTATTTGACCGAATACTGACCCAAAACCGAATACGAATACGATTCGAATACTGACCCTAAACCGAATACGAATACGATTCGAATACTGCCGAATCCGAATCGAATACGAATAAATTTCGAATAATAATATATTTTGTATAGCCAGTGTCAAACGCCTAATGCATGTTCGACACAGGGTGATACAATGCACCTTATAATATCAACACCTTCCCTAAACCCGCTCCAGCAACTATCTTGCTAGGCTTTTGAGCACGGTTCTCATGAGACCTCTTGTAGACAGATTGCCATAGATGATACCGCATGTGGGGAGGGGGGGGGTAGACATGAGCAGGTGCCCCGCTCGGGTCGGGCCGACCCGACCCGACCCGTGGTTTTGGGCGGGTCGGGTCAATGTTTCTGGATCCCTGCCCCGTACGGGCCGACCCGGCCCGACCCGGGGTAAGACCCGACCCGAGGGTACATTTCGGGCCGGGCCGAGGCGAGCCTCCGGTCGGGCCTGACCCGACCCGATTTCGGGCCTAAATTGTCGAAACCGGGTCGGGCCAGGTGCGCGACCCGATTTCGATAGGGCTAGGGCCGAAACCCTAGCCCAGATGTAAATCGATCAAGGGAATTTTTTCCCCTTCGATTTACATTCGATTCGCCACGCCAGCAGCCCCTAGCCCTAGAGTATTAAGTACCCCCCACTAAACTACCTCGTACCTTAGGCATCACCCCAGGAATGCACATACTATCAGTAACATTCATAGAGAAACGTTTTTGGCTGCACTTAGTATATTTCGCACTGGTCAAATTCGTAGCTTTTATGGATTTCAGATTGTACAAGAGAAATTGTACAAGTCATGAAGAACACCCTCAGCCCCCTAAAGGGGCGGGTCTGTCTGGCCCGACCCGGCCCGACCCGAACTCGGGTCACCTCCGACCCGAGTCAGTAGGCCCGGGTCGGGCCAGCTGTTTCATGAGTCTGGCCCGAGCCCGGCCCGACCCGACCCGACCCGAGGGCCCGTGTGGCCCGGCCAAATCGGGTCAGGTCGGGTCGGATCGGGTCAAATGCTCAACTCTAGGGGGGGGAGGGGGGGGAGGGAGGGGGGGGGGGGGGGAGGGTTAATGGTAGAATATCAAATAGTAGCGAATACCGCGAATATCTGTTAGTCGAATATTCTACATCCACGAATACTCGTAATGCGAAAATTTTCGAATACACGGCCATTTCTTATTCTCTCGAATTCGGGTTTTCGAGCGAATATCGAATAATTCTCGAATACCGGATATTCTTGCACAGGCTTAGACCCGCTTGGCATCACGTCAGAGCAGGGTCATGGGTAAAGGGTTGGCATTTTAGGTGCCTCAAAAGGCTGGCAAATGGTTGGGGGGTGAGGGTGCTGAGCAACACCCTCGCGCAGATGAGGTGAGGGCTTGCAGGAAAGTGAGGGAGGTGAGAGCTTACAGGTGAGTGAGGGAGGTGAGAGCTTACAGGTGAGTGAGGGAGGTGAGGGCTTACAGGTGAGTGTAGGGATGAGCATATGGCGAACGCGAACATGTTCGCGTTCGTTTTAGCTCGAACAGGGTTGTTAGGCGAACCGAACACTGTTCGGTTCGCCGAACACTTTTCACCAGAAAGGGTGTTCGAAGTTCGCCAAGAGAGGCGAACATTTCGTACGTTTTGGCGAACACGAACACGTTCGCCAAGAACATGTTCGCGTTCGCCTTTGAGGGGTTGGCACTACAATTCTACAGATTGGATAGAGGCTACGTTCTTAGTATTGAACATCGAAGGCACCATAATGCCTAAACGCCATAGTTAACTAAGTTCAGTTTAGGGCCTATGCTACTACTAGAAGGTGAGGGCGAGGTAGGTTGTTGTGAGGTGGGCGGGCTGTTGGGAGCGCCATGGTCGACAAGCTAAAAAAAATGAGCCCAAATGGTAAGGGCCGCGACCCTAAATTAGGTCGCGGCACTTTCGTCGACGAACATTTTTTGTGTTCGTCGACGTGCGTGTCGAACACGAACATGTTCGTGTTCGACGCGCCTCGGCACATCGAGGCGCGCGAACAGCGAACATGTTCGCCCGAACGTCGAACATGTTCGGGACGAACATTCTTTGGCAAAAAAAAATCCCGTTCGGCTCCGAACGGGTGTTCGCCCATATGCTCATCCCTAGGTGAGTGAGGGAGGTGAGGGCTTACAGGTGAGTGAGGGAGGTGAGGGTACCGAGCAGCACTGGTAGCTCTCCGGTCCAGGATACCTCCGAGATGGTGCTGCGGAATAGGGGGACAAGGACATGAGTCATGATAATGGAATAGAGGGATATATGAAAGGTAGTTGGTAGAGACACAGGACAAAGGCATTTCAGACATTTCATTGATGTGAGATGCCTCCGGACAGGAAATTATGCACGCAGAGCAGGCATGGTCAGGGGTCGGCTCTTTGATGACCTTGTCTGGTCAGTATGTGTGGTGGAGTGGAGTGGAGTGGAGTGGAGTGGAGTGGAGTGGAGTGGAGTGGAGAGGAGTAGAGTGGAGTGCAATGCAGTGCAGCGCAGTGCACTGCAGTGGAGAGGAGTGGAGTGAGGTATCACTGAAGCATGTGCATCTCGGCTGGGAATACATTGCCCGGTTATGACACTTCGCAATCACCTTTGAAACGTAGACAACATATTCTTCCAGTTGCAACTTATCACACTTGTTCTTACAGGCTTTGAAGGGCTTTGAGGGCAGTAAGGAAGGTGAGGGACGACAGATCTCCAACCACATTGTACATCACCGACATCTCGCTGTCACGGTGTGTGGGGCAAGGATTTATAGTCGACTAAAAAAGTGAGGAAGGTGAGGGCAGCTCAGATTAGAAAGGTCCCCAACCACATTGTACATAGATACATGTCCGAAATCTCAATGGTTTGTACATTCATGGCATCGCACTGTGATGGTGTGGGCCAAGATTGTTAACTCGAGTTGAAAGGTGAGGAAGGTGAGGGAAGATCAGATCAGATCAAATCTGATCAGATCAGATCAGATCAGATTAGATCATATCGATCAGATCAGATCAGATCAGACAGATCCCCAACCACCTTGTACATTTCGACATCGCACTCGCATGGTTTGAGGCACGCGGAAGGGGTAGAGCTCTTGATCGTTAGCTAGCTCTTGAGCGAGCTTGGTAAACGCCGAGCTAGCTAATGATGGGATTGATGAGATATGAACTGAGCTCACAATAAGCTTAAGTCATGATGAAATCGTTGGCCAATGGAAAGCATATTTCCCTAAAAAGGAGGAGACCTCACAGTGGTAAGAGACAATCTTTACTACGGGAGGGGTGCAGCCTGAACATGAGCAATCTCCGAGTCGAGTCGAGGCGACTCGAGCCAGGCTCAGCTCAGCTTCAGTTCAGCCGAGTCAATTCGAGTCGATACAACTCACGTCGAGTTTAATCAACGAGTTCAGCGGGAGTTGGGGATTTAAAAAAAAAAAAAACACACCCGACTTGACTGTACAAGTCGAATCAGCGAGTTGGGTCGAATGAATTATTTGCTGCTTATGTCTAACAAGGTCTCGTACCCATGCGGACTAGCGATGAAAGCATAATCCTCGCACGATGAGGAAGAGGAACAGTACAACAAAGGAATGTGCTGCACAGTCTAATCTGCACAGGGCTGGTTCGATTGGAACTTTCTGTCGCACAGAAAGCCTTCAGCATTATGCTTTTGTTTGTGTGCTAAACACGCACGCAGGTACACCTTCTCTACTTTTATGCATGCAAAACGTACAGTATCTGATTGCTTATGTGTGTTCCACCATTCCAATGCATGCAGAAAGATGCAGGGCAAGCAGAGCAAAGCATGCAGCAAAGGATGCAGGGCATACAGAGAGGAGGCGGGGCATACAGAGAGCGCAGGTTGGTGAGACTTGAGATCCACGAAAAGTCCTCCACGCGACCAGTGATGTTTATTGCACCGATGTTGCTGAGAGAGGGAAAAGGGGAAAGGGAAGCAAATTGAGATAGTAGAGGGGCCAAAGGAGTAGAAAATTTGCAAGTGTATCCATGCATGCCTCGTAGTGCCAAACTTTGAAAATACAATCCGAAAGCCTCTTACGTGCAGGTTCAAAGTCGAACAAACTCATGACCAACACCAACGTGGGTAGAAACAAAAACTCATGCTATACCTCACCCCACCCACCCAGTAACCGATGCAAGAGCGGGTTCAGTTAAAGAGGTGCCGCACTGACAGGTATGTGAGGCAAGAGAGACGGCCGAGAGCAGATGGTAGGTCGCCTGATACTGAAGAACTAGATATGTCTCTGGGTGGTTGGGGTGGAAGGGGATTAGGAGGAGGAGGGATATTGAGGAGAAAATTAGCGGGACGGATTAATGCCGCAATCCTGTGCTAGTTTGTTAGGCGCATAAAGAAGTTGGGATGCGCTTTTAGTAAGAGAAGTCACAACTGATGCCAGGCACACACACTGTTCGGGCCTGATGTAACTTAAGGCCTGATGCTCTTTTTAACCGGACAAGCCTTCTCGGCAAGAATGAAAGAACCAGTCAGGTGGCTCTACTCGAGACCTTTTTGCACAACACTATGCTTGCTTGCGCAGTTGCACTCACAGGTGTGCAAGAGCAGAGAGCGAGAGGATGGAGGATGGTAGAGAACCAGAGAGCAATGGGGTGGCGGATATGTCCCTGTTGGTTGGTTTCGCACGGGATGGGAGTTTAGGACAAAAACACAAACAAGCAAACAAAAACACACACACACACACACACACACACACACACACACACACACACACACACACACACACACACACACACACACACACACACACACACACATACACACACAAAAACACAAACAAACAAACAAACAAACAAACAAGCAAACAAACAAACAAACGCTTTCAGTGGCACAATGAAGCGTTTTAAGAAACGTCTCAAGACAGAAGGCCTGATTATTCCTGCTACTCCTGAACACGTGTCTTGGGGTCGCATGAATGGAGCAAGGAATTGGGGTTTCGAGTGGAGGGATAAAGCAGGAGGCGGAAGGGATGAGAGCAGAATGCTGACGGCAAGCGGTGAGGTCAGAGATGGACCCTTGGAGGTAGAGGCAGTGAGGGCATGTGATGATGGCATGTGAGGTGAGGGCATGTGATGATGGCATGTGAGGGCATGTGATGATGGCATGTGAGGGCATGTGATGATGGCATGTGAGGGCATGTGATGATGGCATGTGAGGGCATGTGATGATGGCATGTGAGGGCATGTGGTGATGGCATGTGAGGGCATGTGGTGATGGCATGTGAGGGCATGTGATGATGGCATGTGATGATGGCATGTGAGGGCATGTGGTGATGGCATGTGAGGGCATGTGATGATGGCATGTGATGATGGCATGTGAGGGCATGTGGTGATGGCATGTGAGGGCATGTGATGATGGCATGTGAGGGCATGTGATAATGGCATGTGAGGGCATGTGATGATGGCATGTGAGGGCATGTGCTGATGGCATGTGAGGGCATGTGATGATGGCATGTGAGGGTGTGTGATAGCATGTGTCTGTTTGCATGTATAAGCATGTGTGAGCATGTGTAAGCATGTGAAGGCAGCACTCACAGAACTTGTAGGGAGGGCGGCAAAGAGAGCTCAGAGGTGGACCCTTGGAGGTAGAGGCAGAAGGACAACACACTGACGGCCAGACCAGAGGGTTGGGGTGGGGAAATACAGTGACGTGAAAGCGTCTCATGGAAATGGAAAACAGTGACAGTTAATGGGGAATGAGACGGGATTACTCTTTCAACGAAAAAAAAAAAAAAAATGGGGTTTAAGTGGAGAGAGGCAGGCGAGACAGCAAGCGGATCTTCAAAGAGTGAGAGGCCAGAGGGAACGGAAATGCAATGCAGGTCAATAATCAGGGGATGTCATTGAATTGTTTCCGTGGTATCAAGAGTTAGCAGCTAACGCGTGTTAAGCAAGATACAAAGCTTTCTGTAAGAAAAAGATGTGGGAAAAAAAAAAAAAAAAAAAAGAAGAAGCAAAAGAGATGTTGAAGAATTCTGGGGGAAAACTTGCTGTGCAATCAAACGAAAGCAGTGACCACAGCTCTTACTGCTGCTGCCCTTCTGATACTATGTCTGACTAACTACTAAGGCTACAAGTGTTCGCTAAAGCGATTGTTGCTTGCAGGAGTGAGTCGGACATCTCGAAACAGAAGAAAGAGAAAGACAAAGAGAGAAGATGACCTAAGTATGTCCTGATAAGAATAGAAGATTCCAGCAGTGCACAAAGAGAGAAAAGGCAGAAGAAGGAGAGGAAGACTGGAAGAGAGGAAGATTGGAAAAGAGGAAGAGTGGATGAGAAGAAGAGTGGAAGAGAGAGGCTTACAGAGAGCGGAGGTAGGGCATGAGAGAAAAGACCCTACGAGGCATCCACCCCTTGACAAGTTGCCCTTCATCAGTCACGTTCCTGCAAGAAGAGCATGGTGATTGTGCAGAGGACACACATGCATGCAATACACATGGGCAGAAGACACACACAAACATATGCACACACACACACATCATGCATGTGGTTACATGCACACATGCACGCATTGACACACACACGTGCACGCATTGACACACACACATGCATGTATGGGCACACGCACAAACATGCATGGACAAAATTGCACACGCAGTGCATATACATGCATACCCTGAAAGAATGCCCTTCAAACCTTAAAAAAACAACCCCCAGACTGCAGCTCTTCTCATCCAGATTACAACTTCTCTGAACACCAGGCACGCACACTGGATGTACTCCCACTGGTTGCACCGGAGCACAGCACACTAGAGCAGGAAAGGAGCAAAGTACACAGCAGTGATGAATCCTTGCGCATTGCACTCTATGTACTCCCACTGGTTGCACCAGAGCACAGCACACTAGAGCAGGGAAGAGAGCAACGTACACTGAGACGACGAAGCCCAGCGCGTTGCATTGGATGTACTCCCACTGGTTTTCCGCTCTCTTTCTTTCTTTCTCTAGAGCGACGTACACTGAAACGATGAAGCCCTGTGCGTTGCACTGGACGTAAGCCCACTGGTCGCAGCGCCGGGAGCGGTTGTTGTTGGACGGCCACAGCTGCCACGCGGCGTTCAGCGCCACCAGCGCGCGCACTGCAATGCCCTCCCGCCCCGCCCGCCCCGTGCAATCCCGCTCTCCTCTCCCCCCCCCTCCTCCCCCATCCCCCCTCCTCCTCCCCTCCTTCCCCTTCCCCCCCCACCCCCGGAAACACCGACAAACAAAGTGGGTGAAATTGAGCGAAATTAGGTCAAATTGACTGACATTGGGCGGCGAAAGTGAGCGGCAAAAGGGGCAAAATTGGGACGAGTGGGAGCAATATGGGCGATTTGTGGAGGCTGGTGGTTTCATAGTACTGTGGTATTGTTGTACCCTAACACGGCATTCTTAGTAGTAGCATTGGGCATGCAATCATGGCATTGCATCATCATCCCACAGAAATCATGGCAGGAAAAAGCAAGCAGCAGGTCCGTGTCATGCCATAGGTGAGAGGGCCGTGTGGGAGGGCCGCCGCATGTGGGTGTGCGAGAAGAAAACTCTTTTCCCGCCCAACAAGCGTCCCTCACGCTAGTAAAAAACGAACGAGAAGACCACACTGGCTGTGCGAGACTCGAGTTGATCCCTTTCGAGTTGCAAAAAGGCCCGGGGACTTCTAGTAGCCATGGATCGGACTTGCGGAGCGGGCGAGAGCGAGGGGGGGCGAGCTTTACGCTGTGTGTCGTCGAGGAGCGGTCCGGCGGCGGGTGGGCGCCGCGAGGCGGCCGGAGCCGCGGGGAGCTCGAGGAGGCTCGTGCGATGATCATGCTGTTGGGCGGAACGACTGCGAAGCTTTGCGGCGACGTGCGACCCGTGCGACTCGTGCGACCAGCGGAACCCGTGCGACCCGTAGGACCCGGCGTGGGACTTGCGCGACACGTGAGGGTGGACAGATGGGCGCCGCGAGATAATGCGCGGCGACGGCGTGTGCGAGCCGCCACACAATTGCGCTGTTCCGACGGGAAGCGATGAAAGCACGACTAGTACTACCACCAGTAGCAATACTAACCCCACTGCAAAGCCAAGCGGGGCGGGCGAGCGAGGCGACGGCAGTGCCATGATGAAGGCAAATCGGACCTTCACTTCTCCCACAATCCCATCTGAACAGATGTAGGAAATGTGTTTGTAAAATACACCCCCAGTTCCTCCCCTCCCCACCCATCCACAAGTGGTCTGTTCATCCAAAATCTCAAGTTCCGAGCTGTCGATTGGTCTGGGACCCGCACGTTTGGGTCCCAGACCAATCGACAGCCTCAGCTGCCTGAAAACTTGCCCTAATTCTCACGGGCAGAGAACGGGAAAGGGCTAGTGTGGAATCCAGTATCTAGTACTTGAAATCGGGGGTGTGAATATTCTCTGGTACAATACTATATGTTACTTAAGGATGTACACAACTGGTTGCCTCACAAACACTTATTACGGCAACTGAGTAAAGCCTACCAACTTGCAATTAAGCAAGGCTAAGTAGCAAGCACACAGCGTGAGTGGCGGGCTGTGATTTTGCCATTCGGAAACAACCGACACCCACCCCAAGACACATATTCTTTTTTTTTTAAGGTAATTGCATTATACACCGAATAGGCAAGTGTACAAAACATGAACAGTCGTAACTGCGCTTGGAGGCTAGGTGGTAAACCCGCCTCAGTGTAGCTGCCCTAGCCTGATGCTACCCCTTCTCTTCCGTGTCCACATGGCAGCAAAACCCGCCTTCCACGTCCACTTCTTTGCGTTCCTGTCTCTGATTCGATCCAGAAGCCTCATCTCCTGGCTGGGCCCTCCTCCACGTGTCTCCTTCCGCCCTGTTGCGCTGTCCTTCTGCAGTTTTTCACCTGCGTGTTTCATGAAAACCCTTGCATGCAGCCGAAAAGCTGCCTCAATCCTCCACAGAACCCGTCTCAACCGAAATTTCTGCTCCCGGAAGGCCGCTTCACATCTCTCAACCCACAGCTGATGGATGGTGATCGCCGTAACTTCTCCATTTTCCAGCGTCCCAAAGTTGTCCCCAAGAGTCCGAACGGACTCTTTCTGGACGGATTCCGGACGTGCAGAAAAAGAGACTTTTTGGACCAAGGCCTGCTACATTCCGGAGTCTGTTTTAGGTCCGACCAAAGAGTCCGCGAAGAGTCCATTTGGACAATACGAAAAGCGAAGGCAATATGTGTACATCACGTACCCGATATACTAAGATGCGTTTTACCAATAAAATTTATACCCAACCATTGTTTACATGATTTTTAATAAAGAACATGCAAAGGCATTTCTACTTATACAAACTGCTAGAAACTAAATAATGCATTGCCAGATAAATATACGAACCCCCATTAGTTAATGCTTAAAAGAAAAATAACCTGCACGGATTGAAGAACAATATTGAATGAGCCACAAGGTCCATTCCAAAAAATAATAACTACAAAATTGCTTATACTAAAACGTACAAACCGTGGTGACTGATGACACATTGTCCAACAAGGTTGAAAATAGTCACCAGAAACGATTGAAACAAACATCTCCATTTACACGGTGATTAATATGTCAGAATATTATGCTCTAGCCTGCAGTGGGGTGCTCTATAGCGAGTACAGCCCTTCTAGGGTTAGCTATTTGTACCACCGTTGTTGCTAGTGCAAACCCCTCTTTTCGTTCAAATCTCTCTTGCCTAGCTAGGGTTCTCCTAGCTATGGCCTCTCACTGTACCTACTATTTCGACATGGTATCAGAGCGGTTACGCTCTTGGCCTGTGGGCCCCACTACTGCTTCCGCTGCCCTACTCTGTGCCGCGCGCCCCGTGGCGCGCGGCCTTCAATTTTTCATCCCGCCGCGCGCTCGGAGCGTGCGGCGGTTCCCTGCCCGCCGTGCGCGCCGAGGCGCGCGGCGGTTTCCAGCCGTGGGGGAGCCCGCGCGCACCCCGCCCGTCCGTCGCGGCGCCCTGGGGAGCACTCGCGGCCCCCACCCTGCACGTCGCGTCGCCCCCGTCGACCCTAGCGTCGCCTCCGGAGACCCGCGCGCACCCCCCCACCGTCGACTCGCCTCCCGTCGCCCGTCGTGGCCTGCGCGCGGCCCGTACAGCCGGCGCGCGGCCCGTACGGGCTGCGCCAGGCCTGCGCGCGGCCCGTACGGGCTGCGCCAGGCCTGCGCGCGGCCCGTACGGGCTGCGCCAGGCCCGCGCGCGGCCCGTACGGGCTGCGCCAGGCCCGCGCGCGGCCCGTACGGGAAGCGCCAGGCCCGCGCGCGGCTCGGGCCGCCTGCGCGCGGTTCGGGCGGCTGTGCCAGGCCCGTGGGCGGCCCGTTCCTCGCTGCCCCTGCCCTCCCCACTGTCCCCCGTGCTTCTACTGGCGCCCCACCCCTCCTACAGCCCGTTCTCCTGAATTAGGGTTTGGGGGTGAGGGGTATGGGGGTGAAGACACTGCGTGCCGTTCCCTGCTCCTCCTCCTCCTCCC